CTCTCTCTCTCTCTCTCTCTCTCTCTCTCTCTCTCTCTCTCTCTCTCTCTCTCTCTCTCTCTCTCTCTCTCTCTCTCTCTCTGTGAACTCCACTAACCTCCTCGGCGCTGGACTCCTCCAGCGCTGTGCCCCATTGCCGAAGAACAGCGCAGCCGGCAGTCTCCAAGATAGCGCAGCAGGCGAAATCCTGAACCAGTGTAACGCTGGGTTTCTCCTTGTGTCCTCTGTCCAGAACTGGGCGCTGGCCCAGCTTAAGTAGCGCTGGGCCGGACCCAGTGAGTCCACGGCCTTCGTTCTGGACCGTGCAGACCGATCCACGGTCCAGATCGCAGGCTTCGGACTTGGTTCAGTCCTTGGCCTAAAACGGCCTGCCTGGGTCCCTACCGGACGTCCAGGCCCTGCCTAGGACTGGGCCTGATCGGTACCTGGTCCGATTCAGGGCCTGTGCGAATGCATCGGGCCTGAACGTCGGTCCAGGTCCGAATGGTCCAAAATCTGTCCGAAAATAAAAAAAAGGTCCAAACGTTTTTAGAGGCTCAGCCTCTGGGCCTGAATCTGGCCCTGGCCCAAAAACGTGTACCTGGCCACAAACGGACAACAGCACACACGTTAGAAAAACAGCAGCAATAAAAATAATAAAAAATATAAAAATAATCTAAAGCTGGCGTTTTTCTGATGCAGGCCCAAGTAAAAATGCCATAGGGCCTTCAGGTTGCGGTGACGCGACCTGGGGGCCCTATTCCAACCTCGGGTCCCGTGAGGGGCCCGTGTGTAGGCTCTCAACATGTAACGCGCCCCCCTCCTTATGAAGACGAACCGGGGCGCGGGCGAAGCTGCCGATCCGATGGCGGAATGTAGCGAGGATGGCGAGGAGCTGGAGTGCTCGGCGTAGTCTTCCCTTGGCTAAGATAACGTGAGAGAACGACAGGAGCTGTGGCCTGCAGTTCCGAACGCGTCAGCCAACGGTCAGCCTTGTGGCTGCAGTAGGAGAAGTGAAGTAGAAACTCCGTCTCTTTGTTGCCATGGCGCCGCTCGGTGATGATATAGCCGGCCTCCTGAAATCTGTCCATGGAAGGAGGGTCTTGCGTACGTCGGCCGGGAAACTCGTCGGACTCCGCTGAAGCAAAAGGAGCGAGTTTGGAACAGTGGAACATCGGGTGGACGGGCAAAAGAGGTGACACCGCGATGCGGAATGAAGGCCCCTCGGGATCATCACCAACTGCAGAGTGAATGCGCCAAGGCCCCATCCACTTGGGAAGGAGCTTGCGAGAGATGTCTTGCTCAAGGCTGAACTCCGCGGCGGAGACCCAAACCAGATCGTCGGCGCGGAACGGGCAAGGGAGACGATTGCGGTTGGCTTGATGGTTCATCCGAATTTGCTTCTTTGACATCTGATCCCGTGCCTTGACAAGGAGCTCTTGCATTCGACGAAGGAACGCAAGATGGTCGTCGCTCTCGGCTGTGCGCGGCAAAATGGCGTCCAGCGGCGATGAGATGGGTGAACCATGCTCAAACTCGAACGGCAACATCCCGATAGCCGGATGGATCGATGAGTTGTAAGCCAACTCAACGTCTGGCAAGCGCTCAACCCAATCAACCTGGTCGGGACGGATGAGAGTGCGTAGAAGGACTTGAGCGGTCTGATGCGCCCTTTCCGTTTGACCATCGGTTTGCGGGTGGCAAGCTGAACTCGGCTTCAAAGATGAGCCCCATCGCTTGACGAGGGCGACCCAAAAGTCGGAGAGAAAGCGAGTGTCCCGGTCGCAAACGATCTCCTTGGGGTAGCCCTTGGAGCGAATCCAACCGGTGTATAAGACCTCGGCTAACTCCGGTGCGTTTGCGTGATAGCGGCAAGGCAAAAACATGGCGTACTTGGTGAGGCGGTCAACGACCGTGAGGATCCCATCAACGCTGGTCTTCTGCTTCGGGAAGGGGCCGGTCATATCCATAGCAATTGCTTCTCGTCGCCCAAGGGGAACTGGTAGTGGGTGTAGCTCGCCGAACGGACGATGGTTGCGTGACTTGCAACGCCGACAGACTTCGCACGACTCACAATAGCGGGTGGCGTCCTTGACAAGGTCGGGCCAATAGAACCGCTGGCGAAGTCGGCCAAGTGTACGGTTGACACCAAAATGTCTGGAGGCGGCCGCATCTTGAAACTCACCAAGACGCCGTGTGCGCAAGTGTGAATCACTCGGCACACAAAGAAGATCCTTAGCCCATGAATGCACAAGCAAGTAGCCCTCTTGGATCCGATAATGCGAAGGCACCGGATTCGGAGAGGAGCAATTCGCGTACTTGTCGCGAAAGTGGGGGTCGACTCGATAGCCGCGGATAAAACTCTCCCGCAAGTCGTCGTCGATCTCGAAGGTAGAGAAGACTGCGGTGCAAAGATCCGGTCGCCGTGAGAGGGCGTCCGCAAAGCGGTTTGACTTCCCGGGAATGTGATCGGGGAAAAAGTCAAACTGGTCGATGAAAGTCATCCAACGGGCAATGGTACTGTTAATCGTGTCTTGTGACTTGTAGAATACCAACGGATTGTTATCTGTTACCCATCGGAATGCTTGCTGATCAAGGAGGAAATGCCGCCAATGCTTGAGGGCGTGGACGAAGGCAAGAAGCTCCTTCTTTCGTGCGTCGTCGATCGAATGCACGGGAGGCACTTTCTTGCTAAAGTACTCGACCGAGTGCCAGTCCGTGCCATCGTGCTGCTCAAGGACGGCCCCAATGCCATAGCCAGATGCATCGGTGGTGACGCGTGTAGCTAGGAGTGGGTCATAAATGTGTAACACCTCGGCGGACAAAAGTACCGCTTTGAGTGTTTCAAAAGAATGTCGCGCATCGTCGTCGAAGTCAAAAGGCCGCTCCTCGCTTTCTAACTTGCTTAGGTTGGCCGCGATCTTCGAGTAACCCTTGATGAAGCGCTGATAATAACCGGCCAAGCCGAGGAAGGATCGGACGTTCGTCACATTCTTCGGCTCGGGCCACTCCTGGATGGCTTGAATCTTGTCCGCCAACGGACGAATGCCTTCCGGGGATACAAGATGACCCAAGCATTCAAGCTCTTGCTGGACAAACTCGCATTTGTCGCGGTTRGCTTTGTACCGGGCTGACCGAAGAGTCTCTAGAACATGGCGAAGGTGCTCGAGATGCTCCTCGAGAGTTTGGCTATAGACGAGGATGTCGTCTAAGTAGACCAAGACGAATCGGTCCAACATAGCGCGAAACTCGTGTCAGGTGGCCGAGGCATTGGTGAGGCCAAAAGGCATAACTACGCACCTAAAATGCCCATATCGCGTCTTAAACGCGGTTTTGTACCGATCTTGCGGGCAGATGGAAATCTGATGATCGCCCGACTTGAGGTCCAACTTTGAAAAATACTTAGCGTCGCCCAGACGCTCAAGCAAATCGTCAATGCGAGGTAAAGGCCTCGTGTTCTTGATGGTTTGCACGTTGAGGCGTCGATAGTCAATGCAAAGTCGAAGGTCCTTCTTTTTCTTCCGAACGAAGAGCACGGGCGCACCGTAAGGTGAGCTACTAGGGCAGATCCAGCCCTTGTCAAGTAGATCATCGAGTTGCGCACAGAGAACCGTGAGCTCCTCCTTGGACATGCGATAAATGCATCCCTTAGGTGGCACGGCGCCGGCCTCAAGTACGATCTCGTGAGAGATCGATTGGTCCGACACTATCCCTGAGGGAATCTCGAAAACGTCCGAGAACTCGTCTAACAACCGGGTCACACGGGGGTCGGAAGACAAATCCGTGGACGATGGGTCGGTCTTAGGGACGGTTCGAAGAAACGCGATGTCAATTTTTTCGATGTGCTCAAAACGACACGTGTCTCGAAAAGATTTGGCACTCATGACTTGGCACCGAATGGAGGAGCGAGGAGGAGGAATAGTACACGGGACCTCAGCGCCAACGGTATCACGAATCGTGAGCGTGTGTCGATGGAAATTGACCGTGTGGTCTGCGCTAGAAAGCCAAGGCATCCCCAAAATGACATCGAAGTCGGTGTCCAATACGTCAAAAGTGACGGGTTCGCATGCGTGCGGTGCAAAATACACCGGGACAGCCGAGATGTAACGGTCTAAGAGCTGTTTCGTCTTACCGTCGGCAAGAGCGACCGTCGTCGGATGTGACTTCCTCCGTACTTGTGCGCCAAGGCCAGCCCGAGTCATGAAGGGCTGKCTGATGAAGTTGCGAGTTGTGCCGCAATCTAGCAAAGCGTTGCAGGCCGCTTGCCCAATTTGAATGCGGACGTAGAGCAACGGTGCGTTGTTTTTTGCGTACTGTTGCGAGACAAACTCCCGGGCCACCTTGGCAACATAGCCAAGCATGTCCCCCATCGGAACTTCGTCTACCGTCGGCGAAGTTGGTGGTGCATGGAAGGAAAGATACTCGTGTAAGAGGGCGCATACTGTTGCGCTTTGTGGCCCCAGAAGGTTGCCCGTCGTAGGGAGAGGAACCCAAGCGAAATCCTCGGGCGTGAGCGGGTCCAACACCTCCTCGTTGAACACGCTTGCCAAATCCCTTGATGAAGACGAAGTGGCGGAAGAACCTTCGGAAGGTGAGAAAGCCGCATAAGTATCTTGTCGTTGAGAAGCGTCCAGCGAAGGAACGAGCCGGGCAGCGAAGTCTTCGAACGAAAGTGGAAGACTCCCGACATCCGCATATGCCTCGGAAGAAAGGGCGGTCGTGCGCACAACCGCTTCCAATGGCGTCGAGGGAGGTGTCGAGTCACCCTCGGCGGCGCCTACTTTCCCGAATGGGGTTTTCCCTTGGTGGGGCAATGTGTAGCATCGTGGATGGTGCTCTTGCACCAAAGACAATAATGGTACTTGAGTCTCGTGCGGTAGCTGTTCGCCTAGAGTCCGTATTGGTGCCAAGGTTCGTCGGCTGCTGATCCGGTGCCCGGTGAAGAGGTGGACCGAGTCTTCGTCTTTTCGAGGTTGTGGTTGTTGCGCGGCCGGCCACCATCCCAGAGAGTTGCCAACATGTCACCCTCGTTCGGTGTTGCAGCCTCGGTAGAAGTTGGCGAAGTCGTCGCAATGCAAGCCACCTTTGGCTTGGGCTGGTTGCTGCTCGACGTCGCGGAAGATCGGTCGGCGTTGCGGGCTTCTACATTCGTAAGAATGATCCATGACGCTGTGATGAAAAGCTTGTCCGACGTGTCGAGTGTCTCTGCAATCTGCGTCAGCGCGTTTTGCAGGGTTGGGCACAAGGGCATGATGAACAAGTGCTTGACGCCGCGGAATGCAAGTGGCAGGTAGGGTATGGAGGCGAGTCTTTGGAACTCGGTAATCCAGTCCTCACTGAGAAGCGAGTTCTGATGGAGCTTGTTTAACTTCTCCATCGCCTGCAAGTCGGGCGGCTCCACTTGGAATCGCTTGTGCCAGGCGTCCGTCAGCTCCTGCCAAGTGAGCTTGGTGTGTAGTTCCGACACTGCTACGCCGTGGCTTGTCAATATGTTGTCCAGCCATGCTTGACATGCACCACCAGATTGGTGGTACAAGCACGCATGTCGATCGTTGTTCAGGACATGGTGCATGTCGAGCCTGAGAGTGAATTGGCGCCACCACGGAATCGGGTCCGTCTTGGACTGATCGTAGAAAACTGGAAGGTCATCCAGTTTGGGTGGGCGTTGGGAGGATGCGGCCGCAGGCATCACGGTAGCAGCAGCCTGGACCTTCATCTCCAACTGCAAGTTTGTTGCTTGCTGTGACGTCCGAAAGTCCTGATGCACACGCTTGATGTTGTTGACGTCATCCTCCAAAACTTGAACACGGGTTGCAAGGTTGGAAAGCCCTGCGGCTGCTGCAGCAACTGGCTGTTTCTTCAACGCCTGCAGCCGTACAAACATCTGGTCCACTGTTTGCTGCAGGTGAAGGATTTCCTCCTGCTGTAGAGCGCAGGTGGCCACGATGTCGTGGGAGATCTGCGCAACGGCTGACAACCCTTTGTCAGTCTCCGAGGCCTCGTCCGCAGATGCCATTTCCACCCAATGTGTGGTCTCATCGCTGATCACGGTCTCCCGCGTGAACAGTCGTTCACGTTGGCGTGACCGGTGTTCAGCTGCAGCCTGCAGGTCTGCCTCCTCTTGACGAAGTCCGTCTTGTTCCTCCTGCTGTTGCTTGGCCTTCTCTTCTTGCTCGATCCGGTTACGTTCCTTGGTCACGGCAACGGCCCTATCGTTGGCCTCCTGGATGAATGCAGCCAGGCGTTCCTCATAGGCCAGGAGGGATTCTCCCGTCTTCCGGTCCATGGCCTTGGTCTGTGATCGAGAGAGCAGTGGCATGCACTGTCGTGCCCGAAGTCTGAAGAGTCACCCGTGGGCCAATTAGATGGACTGGCCCAGTACCCGGACTGGACGGGGAGGAACAGGTAGGCAGGCAACACACAAGTGGGAAAGATCGGACAAATCGAAAAACGGAACAGTCTCCTAACCAAAACAAAACAAATTATTTTTTATTTAAAAAAAAATAAATCGAAAATTCGAAAAAAGACTGTCCAATCCCACGGAGTACCAAAGGTGATGCAAAGGCAAATATGAACCTTCGGTGCTCGGACTCCAGGTAATCAGAAAAAAAAGAATCTTTACAAACTTAGAGTAGGAGTAGGTTGCAAAAAGAGAAAAATGCCATTTTTTTTTTTTTTTTTTTTTTTTTTTTTTTTTAGAACGGAATTTGCAGACCTACGCAATGAACAAAAAAGAAAATTTTCTTCGAAAAAGAATTCTCAGAACGAAAAAAAAAAATTCTCAGAGAAAAAAAATTCTTGGGAAAAAAATAATTTCTCAGAAAAAAAATATATTTCTCGAAAAAAAAATAATTAAATAATTAATTCCGGGAGATTTCCAAGATAAAATAAGAAATTGCCAAATAATCAATCAACCTAATCAATCAATCAATCAATCAATCAATCAATCAATCAACTAATCAATCAATCAATCAGTCAATCTCAGATGATTGCTGGTTGATTGATCGATTGTTCGATCGATCTCCTGATTGACTGATCAAGTAATCGAAGATTGATTGGTGGCAATCCGCCAATCCAATCAATCAATCGATTGATTGGTTGTTGCCAAGATTCACTGCACTAGCTCCGATACCACTTGTAGCATATCAGAAAGTGAAATGCATAGAAAGCCTAGGATCTAGCAATGATGAAAGTGGCAACAACCAGCAGCATAGATGCAACATTCACAAGATGCCAGTGTGCACAATGCAAAGAGTAAACCAACGAGAACTCGACAACAATGCATTCACATTATCATCATCATAGGCTGGGAAAACAGCACAGTGGAAGATTTAGTAATCAAAGGACACGAGGACAAACAAACATGAAAGAGAGAAACTTCGTAAGGGCAAGACATCAGAAAGATTGCCCTTCCTCTCACACACATGGGGAGAGATCCATAGACATGCGAGAGAGACCTCCAAATGTCGTACACAGTTCAATCCCAATGTAGAGTACAAGTCCGATCTCAATGCCGTGTCCAATAAGGCAGAATGCCGTGTCCAAACAATGTCTGCAGTTACCTCTATCTCTACTCTGATGAAGAAGAAGAAGAAGAAGAAGCAGAAGAAGAAGAAGAACAAGAAGAAGAAGAAGAATTCAGAGGAGTAGAAGAAGAAAAGGAGAGAAGAAGAAGAAGAAGGAACGGAGAAGAAGAAGAACAAAGCTAGGCGCTTTCTGATCCTACTTAGCTGGGTGCTGACTGCAGGTACCGCGGGAGCCCAACTATGGCGCTGGTAAGTCGCGACAGGTAAGTCCCTCTTCTCTCTCTCTCTCTCTCTCTCTCTCTCTCTCTCTCTCTCTC